AGACATGGTATCTACATGGATGCAGAAATGCAGAAAATCCTATGAGCAGGATATCTATGTGGATGCAGACGTGCAAAGCTATAAGCAGGATACATGAATACAAAAGTGTAGTAATTCCCTATGAGCATGATATCTACCCCTTTGCATGCATGGTTACCCTTCCCTTTTCACTAATTACCCCAGAAGTTTATTACAAAATTATTACAGTCCAAAAATAAAATAAAGAAACTACATCAGAAAAATTAAAATTACAACCAAGGAGAGCCTGATCCAGACTTTCTGTCTGAAGCATGAAGTAAACCAACTCCAAAGATCGAGATCCAAAGCCTTTCTCTCATTTGGGATGTGTCAGAGTTCCCTAAGAGCCTCAAATGGACTCCGGGCAGTGCTCACACCCAAACACATTGCAGGATTGGGTCATAGTGCAGTGTGGAAGGGCCAGCCCTCAAGTGTCCAAGTTCAGAGGGAACTCAAGGTCCCAAGGCAAGGCTCACAGGAGGGGGGCAGAACTTAGAAGCTAAGAGTGAGTGTAAGTGCAGAGAGGGAATTCTAAAAGGGGAAAAGGGAAGTGGAAAAGACAGGCTAGTGGGAATACCTAGCAATAGGAAATGCTGGCACACCCCACCAGCCTGTTAGAACATATTGTTTTGGGAGTTAGGATCCCCAAAGGGATCAAGTCCAAACATGAACAATAACTTGCATGTTGCCATGTTCTGAACTACAACTCAAAGCATATAGAGGGAAACAGGGGTGCAGGATTCATAGCAGAAACAGATGAAAGGAAATTAACATGCTAGTTTACATTTAAATCCACATAGACAGTAAAGTAGACATGGATGTAAAGGCTATAAGTAAAGACATTGGGATGATGCTGAAACCAAAACTAGAACATACCAGTCTCAAGGAAACAAGCAAAAGAAAGCAGTAGTCTTGTGAAGCCAAAGTGCAGACAAGAAGTAAGAGTACTCCAAGTATGAGTTTTGTGAGATTCTAAGTGTGAAGTCTGAAGTGTGTGTGTGTATGTGTCGAAAGTGAAAAAGGGTCGTGCCCTTTATAGTGTAGAAAGCAAGCAGAAATAGGTAAGAAAATAGTTTGAAAATCAATTACACAAGGTTTCCCTTTAATTAAGGGATCCTAATTTCAAACGGGTAAAACTAATTAAGGAAAGAGATTAATCAAACACTTTTCAAAGCAGTACAAGATGGGTAAATACATAGAGGTTTATTTAAGGACAAGGTCTTGACAGTACACGGTTGTACAATTTAAGGAAAGGAAATCAATTGACAGCCAAGAAATCATAAGTCGAAAATTTTGTATGAATGAACAAAGTCAGAAAGATGGAAAGATTTTAACTTAAGGAAAATCAGTAACAATCAATTAGACTTATTAAATGGAATTCTGAATCAATCACAAGTTGGAAAACCCTTTTTTGAAGAAAGATTCATCACATATAAAGGCATACAAACACGTTAAAACATGAAGAAATTTGTCATGCACTTGTAAGGCTAGTGAAAACTCTAGAGAAGTCAGAATTACATGAAAACAAGGGAGTCCAAACTTAGTTTGTAGGCTCAGAGATTAGTCTGAAAGAGTCAAGGGTTCTCAAACAGAACCCTAGTTCAATCACATGACCAAACTCGACGGAACCCCCAAATTCTAGGGTTTCCACCTCGAGTCAAATACAGAGATGAGGAGGCAACAGGCTCAGAGATTCCTTTTCAGGAACTCATGAGAAGACAAGCAAACACAATAGAAAATTCAAAGCAAACAGAGTGAAGGAACTAACTCAAAGCACAATGAGAGAACAACATGATAGTAGAAGAAACATGTTTAAGAAAAACCTTTCAGAAGGGACTTAAACAGGGTTTAGTAGAAGAGAAAACAGTAAATACAATAGAAGATATAGTAGAAGAACTTAACCAAGGTTTAGAAGAGAAAAATACTAAAACACCTAAGAGTGCAGTAGAAGAAACCTCTTTTAAGAAGGTCTTCTTTCTTTTACTTTTTTTTTTAAGAAACTCAACATGGTTCAGCGGAAGGCAAACAAAGAGACTAAAGAACATAGTAAAAGAAACACAGTAGGAGAACACAAGAACACTGGAAAAGTATAGCAAAAGATCATATAGGAAAACATAGTGAGATAAACATGTGAGCATGGTATAGAAACACAGTAGGAAAACAAAAAATATAGAAGCACAGAAGAACATGCGTGGTAAAAGGAAACATATGAAAGCAGTAGCAAACAAACACACACAAAGAAAAGGGGAAGAAAAGTCATAAGCATTTCAGAAAACCCTAAATCGAAAAGAAGTGATTTTAAAAGTAATTTTGAAAGAAAAGTTGGGGAAATCGTTTAAAAACCCAAGTAGAGCATAGATACGTGACAGATCTAAGAAAAATCGGAGGGAACCCCGAATAGTCAGGGTTTCAAAAGAACCCTAGAATGAGAAAGGCTTGGAAAAGGTCCAATCTGAGTCGGATAAGTCGGAACCAGGCTCAAAACACCATTTTACGCCGGAGCAAGGCCGGAGATGGCCGTAGAACCTTGAGTTTGCAAAGATCTGAGTGAAGACCTCCAAGGTCAGACCTAAAATCTCCAAGTATCAAGTGTATAAGAACACAGGGAGGTAAGTGTGGGGTTCCCATGGCCTGGGCAGCCATGGATCCCGGTGAGTTTAAGGTAGAAGGCGGTGAGAGGGGCTAGGGTTTCGAGAGAGTCTGAGAGAGGAAAGGATTTCAGAGGCGGCGGGTTAAGGGGAAATGATTTTAGGGTTGGGTGTTTGTAAAATTAAAAAGGAAATGAATGATTGTGGCCGTTGATCAAAATGATCAACGACCTGGATCGAAAGGGGAGGCCAGGCAGGTTAGATTAGCTGGGTTAGGGGCGGTAATTTAGAAATTGGGCCGGTCCGCTTGGGGTCTAAAATTGGGTTAATTGGGGAAATTAATATGGGCTACAATTGAAACAAAACGGGGCCAAATTTTAAATAGCCACTTTTTCCCCTTTTATTTTATAAAAATAGTAAAATGAATTCTGAAAATAAATTAAGGTGCTAAATCAATTAATAATATATAAATATTAATTTAGAATATTGGAACCAATTTCATAATTGTAAAATGCTACTAAATCTTAAAATATGCTAAAATTACAATTATATGCAATTTAGCTTTTAAAATACCAAATAAATTTGTAAAAAACGTATAAAAATTACCTTAGCTATATTTTGGTATAAATATGAGGATAAATAATTGAATCACCAAAAATGATAATTTGGCTATAATTATTAGTTTTGTACTGTTAAAATAGGGCAATATAAAAATCTTTAAAAATTAGGAAAAATACTAAAACATTTGGACACACTTGAAATTATTTTGCATATAAAAATATACAAGGAAAAATTGGGTATCAACAGGGATCCATGACTGTCACCCAGTACGAGACCAGATTTATTAATTTGGCTCGCCATGCTCTTATCATACTTCCCACTGAGAGGGAGAGAGTGAGACGGTTCATTGATGAACTTATTCAGCCGATTCGTCTTCAGATGGCTAGAGAGGCTGGGAGTGAGATATCTTTCCAGGAGGCGGCCGATGTGGCCCGGAGAGTTGAGATGGTTCTATCACATGGGGGTGGTTATAGTGCAGACAAGAGACCCCGTCAGTCAGGCAGATTCAGTGGTGCCTCGTCTGGAGGCAGGGATTCGTATGGTAGAGGCCATCCTCCTAGGCCCTTTCAGTCAGCACTTCAGGTTTCTCACGGTGCTTCAGGTGGCCATGGTTCTCACATACAGTATTCTGATCAACAGCCCTACAGTGCACCACCAGCTCCTATCAGTGCACCACCAGCTCCTATCAGTGCACCACCGCTCCAGAGTATTCGGGGTGGTCATTCAGGTCGCCAGGGTCAGTCTCAGTTTCCTCAGCCGCAGCCCTCAGGAGGATGTTATGACTGTGATGAGTATGGTCATATTAGGAGGGCTTGTCCGAGATTGGTGGGTACTCAGTCGCAGCAGCAGGGTTCCCGCGCTATGGTTCAGCCACCAGGTGTCCCACAGCCCGCCCAGCCAGCTAGAGGTGGGGGTAGAGGTGCTAGAGGTGGAGCTAGAGGTCCTAGAGGTGGAGCTCAGGCCGCCAGAGGTAGAGGCCAGCCAGCGGCAAATCGTCCTAGAGATGTGGTTCAGGGTGGTGGGGCCCAGCCTCGATGTTATGCTCTTCCAACCAGGCCCGAGGCTGAGGCTTCCGATGCAGTTATTACAGGTACCGTTCTGGTTTGTGATAGAGATGCTTCAGTGTTATTTGACCTAGGGTCTATATACTCGTATGTGTCATCTTATTTTTCACCGTACCTGGTCATGCCTATTGATCCCTTGAGTGTTCCTGTTTATGTGTCTACACCGGTGGGTGATTCTATTGTGGTAGATCGAGTCCATAGTTCTTGTATTGTGGTGATTGGAGGTCTTGAGACTCATGTAGATTTGTTGCTTCTGGACATGGTTGATTTCGATGCTATATTGGGGATGGACTGGTTGTCACCTTACCACGCTATCTTGGATTGTCATGCTAAGACTGTGACCTTAGCCTTGCCGGGTCTACCCCATTTAGAGTGGCGAGGGACTCCTGGTCATTCTACCCGTAGTGTTATCTCTTATGTGAAGGATCGACGTATGGTCGAGAAGGGGTGTTTGGCCTATTTTGCATATGTTCGCGATTCTAGTGCTGAGGTCCCTTCTAATGATTCCGTGCCCGTTGTTAGAGAGTTTCCTGAGGTATTTCCTTCAGACCTACCGGGTATGCCACCCGACAGGGATATTGACTTTTGCGTTGATTTGGCTCCGGGCACTCAGCCCATTTCTATCCTGCCGTATCGTATGGCCCCGCCTGAGTTGAAAGAGTTAAAGGAGCAGTTGCAAGACTTGCTTGAGAAGGGTTTCATTAGACCCAGTGTTTCGCCTTGGGGTGCGCCGGTGTTGTTTGTTAAAAAGAAGGATGGGTCAATGAGAATGTGTATTGATTACCGGCAATTGAACAAGGTTACAATCAAGAATAAGTATCCGCTGCCGAGGATTGATGATTTGTTCGATCAGCTTCAGGGTGCCAGGGTATTTTCAAAGATTGACTTGAGATCTGGCTACCATCAGTTGAGGATTAGGGTATCCGATGTCCCTAAGACAGCTTTCCGCACTCGATACGGGCATTATGAGTTCTTGGTTATGTCATTCGGGTTGACAAATGCCCCAGCAGCCTTCATGGATTTGATGAACCGAGTGTTCAGGCCTTATTTGGATTCGTCCGTGATAGTCTTCATTGATGATATTTTGATAGATTCTCGCAGCCGGGAGGAGCATGAGCAGCACCTTAGAGTGGTTCTTCAGACTCTGAGAGATAGCCAGTTATATTCTAAGTTCTCAAAGTGCGAGTTCTGGTTGAGTTCAGTTGCATTTCTGGGTCATATTGTATCAGCAGAGGGTATTCAGGTTGATCTGAAAAAGATTGAGGCAGTCAAGAACTGGCCTAGACCAGCATCAGCTACAGAGATTCGGAGTTTCACGGGATTGGCAGGCTACTATCGTCGATTCGTGGAGGGGTTTTCATCTATTGCAGCCCCGATGACCAGGTTGACCCAGAAGGGTGCCCAGTTCAGATGGTCGGATGAGTGCGAGGCGAGCTTCCAGAAGCTCAAGACAGCTCTGACTACGACACCGGTATTGGTTTTACCCACAGGTTCAGGGCCTTATACAGTTTATTGTGATGCTTCTCATATTGGACTTGGTGCAGTATTGATGCAGGATGGCAAGGTCATTGCCTATGCTTCGCGGCAGTTGAAGATTCATTATAAGAACTATCCGGTTCATGATTTGGAGTTGGCAGCCATTGTCCACGCATTGAAGATTTGGAGGCATTATCTGTATGGCGTGGCATGTGAGGTGTTCACGGATCACAAGAGTCTTCAGTATTTTTTCAAGCAAAAGGAGTTGAATTTGAGGCAGAGGAGGTGGTTGGAGTTGTTGAGGACTATGATATCACCATCTTATATCATCCGGGAAAGGCTAACGTGGTGGCTGATGCTTTGAGTAGGAAGTCAGCCAGCATGGGCAGTCTTGCTTATATTCCGGTCGATGAGAAGCCGCTTGCTTTGGATGTTCAGGCCTTGGCCAATCAGTTCGTGAGGCTGGATGTTTCTAAGCCCAGTCGCGTGTTAGCTTGCACAGTCGCTCGTTCTTCATTATTGGAGCGTATCCGTGATCGGCAGTATGATGATCCCCATTTGTGTGTCCTTAGAGACACGGTGCAACGCGGAGATGCCAAGCAGGTTACCTTAGATGATGATGGAGTTTTGAGATTGCAGGGTCAAGTTTGTGTGCCTAATGTGGATGGACTCCGAGAGTTGATTTTAGAGGAGGCCCATAGTTCCCGGTACTCTATTCATCCGGGCGCCGCGAAGATGTATCAGGATTTGCGGCAGCATTACTTGTGGCAGAAAATGAAGAAGGATATCGTTGCGTATGTGGCTCGGTGTTTGAATTGTCAGCAGGTTAAGTACGAGCATCAGAGGCCCGGTGGTTCATTTTAGAGGATTGAGCTTCCCGAGTGGAAGTGGAAGCGGATCACTATGGATTTCGTTGTTGGACTCCCGCAGACTCGGAAGAAGTTCGACGCAGTATGGGTCATTGTTGATAGGCTAACCAAGTCAGCGCACTTCATTCCTGTGGCAGTCTCCTATTCTTCTGAGAGGTTAGCTGAGATCTATATCCGGGAGATTGTTCGCCTTCATGGTGTGCCCGTGTCTATCATATCAGACCGAGGTACGCAGTTTACCTCGCGTTTCTAGAGAGCAGTTCAGCGAGAGTTGGGCACACGGGTTGAGTTGAGCACACCATTTCATCCCCAGACGGACGGGCAATCCGAGCGGACTATTCAGATTTTGGAGGATATGCTCCGAGCTTGTGTCATTGACTTTGGAGGCTCGTGGGATCAGCTTTTGCCCTTAGCAGAGTTTGCCAACAACAATAGCTACCAGTCGAGTAGCCAGATGGCTCCTTACGAGGCCTTGTATGGTAGGCGGTGTCGCTCTCCGGTTGGATGGTTTGAGCCGGGAGAGGCTCGGTTGTTGGGTACGGATCTGGTTCAGGATGGCTTAGACAAGGTTAGGATCATTCAGGATACGCTTCGTACAGCTCAGTCCAGGCAAAAGAGTTATGCCGACCGCAAGGTTCGAGATCTGGCTTTCATGGTCGATGAGCGGGTATTGCTTCGAGTGTCTCCTATGAAGGGCGTGATGAGATTTGGGAAGAAGGGCAAGCTTAGCCCTAGGTTCATTGGTCCGTTTGAGATTTTTAATCGAGTGGGAGAGGTGGCTTATAGACTTGCATTACCGCCGAGCTTATCAGCCGTGCATCCAGTGTTTCATGTGTCCATGCTTCGGAAGTATCACGGTGATCCATCCCACGTGTTAGATTTCAGAACTGTCCAGTTGGACAAGGACTTGTCATATGAGAAGGAGCCGGTAGCCATTCTAGACCGGCAGGTTCGTCAGTTGAGGTCGAAGAGTTTTCTTTCTGTTCGTGTTCAGTGGAGAGGTCAGCCTCCTGAGGCCTCAACCTGGGAGTCCGAGTCCGATATGTGGAGCCGTTATCCCCATCTTTTCCCCGACTCAGGTACTTCCTTCTTCTGTCCGTTCAAGGACGAACGGTTGTTTTAAAGGTGGAGAATGTGATGACCCTTTGGGAAAGGGTCATCACTTGCTTTTAAATTAAATTCTATGTTCCAAGGCCTTAAAAACCTCTTTTACCTTCACCTCGATTTGCATGCACAGTCCGGGCGTGTAGCCGGAAAGCTGTTATGTGAAAAATCTGTGAAATATTAAAATTTTGACTTAAAATGCATTTAAGTTGACTTCGGTCAACATTTTTGGTAAATGGACCCGGACCCGTGATTTGACGGTCCTGGAGGGTCCGTAGGAAAATATGGGACTTGGGCGTATGCCCGAAATCAAATTCCGAGGTCCCAAGCCCGAGAAATAAATTTTTAAAGAAAATTGTTTTCTAAAATTGTTTGAAGGATTTTGAAATGAAACTTGATTAGAACATGTTGGTATCGGGCCCGTATTTTGGTTCCTGCTCCCGGTACAGGTCTTATATATGATTTAAGATGATTCTGTGAAATTTGGTGAGAAACGGATGTTATTTGACGTGATTCGGACTTTAAATGGAAAATTTGATGTTTTATGAAGTTTGAGAAAAATTCTTTGATTTTGAGGTTTAATTCGTTGTTATTGAGGTTATTTTGGCGATTTGATCGCACAGATAAGTTCGTATGATGTCATTTAGTTAGTGTGTATATTTGGTTAGGAGCCCCGAGGACTCGGGTGTGTTTCGGAAGGTTTTTGAACTTTAGAAATGTTGTAGATTTTGCTGTTCAGTGCACAGGGAATTTGTTCTTCGCGTTCGCTTGGTCCCACTCGCGAACGCGTAAGGCAAAAATCCCAAGTGTCAGTTTTCTTCTTCGCGAACGCGAAGCTTGAGACGCGAACACGAGGCTGAGGGGGGAGTACCCTTCGCGAATGCGTCCAGGTACTCGCGAACACGTAAGGCAATGGGCCTGGGGAGGGAGTTCTCATTTATTCTAGGCGAATGCGGCCATTGGCCCGCGAACGCGAGGGCTCGAGGGGTTAAAGCTCCGCGAACGCGAGCCCAATGTCGCGAACGCGAAGGTCTTCAGGCCTGACTCATCGCGAACGCGATGAGCCTGTCGCGAACGCGAAGGGTAATTTCGCCCAGTTATTTTTAAGTCTCAAAAACAGAACACTTACGGGATTTTCATAAACTTTCAAAAACCTCTTCTTCTCCAAAGCTCTTAGGCGATTTTTGAAGCATTTCCTCACCATAATCTCTTGGGTAAGTAATCTTTAACTTATTTTCTTTCATTTTTTTCAACACCCACTAGATTTCTAGGCATAAAACATGTGATTAAGGGTAGAAAATTAGGAATTTGGGTAGAGTTAGGGCTTTTTATATATTTATGATTTAGACCTCGTTTTGGGGTCGAATTTTGGAACAAATTATATACTTGGGCTCGTGGGTAAATGGGTGACCGGATTTTGGTCCGAACCTCGTGTTTCGACCAAGCGGGTCCGGGGTCAATTTTTGGATTTTTGGGAAGAATGATTAAAAAGCTATAATTAAGCATTGGAATTGGATTGTTTAGAATTTATTGATGTTATTAAGTCAATTATGTATAGATACGATTGTGTTGGAGCCAAATTCGAAAGGAAAGGCGGTATTTGAGGATTGAGTTGGCCGTGAAAGTTCGAGGTAAGTGTTCGGTCTAACCTTAGCTTGAGGGATTAGGAGTTGAGTCCTATTTGCTATTTGCTTCTTGTTGAGTACGACGTATTGGTATGGTGACGAGTATCTATACGTTGGAGTCTAGCATGACACTTGAGTCTTAAATTGAAATTTGTTGCGTTCTTAAGTGATACTTCGGATGCTTTAATTGATGATTCTCGATATTGAGCAAGGATTAATTTTGTTCTCGTGGAAATTACTTATGATTTGAACATTGGTGTTAGCTGAGATGAATAAAAGTTGAGTTAAGATTGGTTATAGCTGATTTCTCCCTTGCCGGGACGTATTTACTTTTATTGTTGATCCCTTGCCGGGATAGTGTAGTTTATTGTTGGTCCCTTGCCGGGATACTTGGTATGGTTGTTGCTAAAGGCATATATATGTAAATATGGATCGGGTTGCACGCCGCAACAATATTATAAATATGGATCGTGTTGCACGCCGCAACAATATTATAAATATGGATCGGATTGCACGCCGCAATAATATTATAAATATGAATCGGGTTGCACGCCGCAACAATATTAAATATGGATCGCGTTGCACACCGCAACAATACTAAATATGGATCGGGTTGCACGCCGTAACAATGTTATATTGGATCGGGTTGCGCGCCGCAATAGTATTATTATTGTTTTGATGTAGATTCTGAGTTGTTCTCTCATATCTCTTTTATTTCCTGCTGGATTTGACATTATTCCCCGTAGTATGTACCCCCTCCCATTTAAATTGTTTACTCCTGCTATCTTTCGTTGTATATTATATAACTGCACAGGTTTATCTGGAGTCTGGTCCTAGCCTCGTCACTTCCTCGCCGGGGTTAGGCCAGACACTTACCAGCACATGGGGTCGGTTGTGCTGATGCTACACTATGCACTATGTGCAGATACCGGAGCAGCATTTAGGCAGTAGAACTTGGGGAGCCAGCCTTCAGTCCAGAGATCCCGAGGTAGTCCTGCAGGCGTCCGCAGGCCCGACGTCTCTTCTATCTACTTATATGTTCTGTTTTCATTTGTACCCGAGACAGACTGTATTTCTTTTCTTCTGACATCTGTATGTAGTATTTATAGACAATACGTGAATGTTGTGACACCGGCTTTTGGGTAGAGGCTTATATTGGCATTTCTGTACTGATTTTGGTATTTAATTTGACTAAGTCTTCCGCTTGATTTCTTCTTCCGCAATTATTTTAATGTTGGACACCTGTTTATTTTAAGTTGTTAAAAAGGGTTAAAATGAACGAGTTAAGATTTCTGCATTTCGTGGCTTGCCTAGCTACTACGAGTAAGCGCCATCACGACCCCCGAGGGTGGGAAATCCGGGTCGTGACAAGTTGTCATTTGTTTAAATGAATACCAAAAGAAAGAAAATGATTAATAACAACTCACTTAGAATATATTTTATCTTCTAATATTTTATCCTTATAGTTTAATGCTTGTTTTAACAATTAATACTATACTATAACCGATTATATGATGAATTCCGTAAAGAATGACCTTGATTTTTTTACAAATTAGTTAAATCAAATAATGTTTTGGTTAATTAATTTAAGGATTTAATTATTTATTCTTAATGTTAAAGAGAATAATTCATTTTGTCTATTCAAATATTAATATTATCTCATATCAATTTTCAAATATTTAAATGTAATTATAATTTTATCAAATAAGAATTTCATGTTCAGAGTAATAAAAAAATCACTATGATATATCACTCTTGAATTTTTACATTAGTTCAACCATTAGTATTGTTGAGTCTTACAAAACATCTCTTTCTTTTGTATTCTTAAAACTAAAATATTTTTTAGTTAAGCTAGATATTTCAATTCTAAAAAATTAGAATTGATGGACTTTTGAGATTACTATGTCTATGATCGTTAGGTATTTGTTCTTTCTCCCAAGCATGATCTAATAACAAAAAATTTAGTTGATCAAAATTTTAAATATAAAAAAATAATTAAATAACTATGTTGTTATTTAAATAAAATACTCGTAAACCTTGAAAAACGACGGTTAAAACCGGGGGGAAAGAGGAAAGTAAGGACTCCAAAACCAAGAAAAGAAAAATTAGGACAACTAAACCTAAACTTTTATAACACACACACAAAAAAAGATACTCGTAAACCTTTTAATAAAAAAATATTTGTGAAGTGCTTGGACTTCAGTATCCTAAACCCGATAGAGTTTATATGAAGGACTCCAATTAATTATAACATCATTATCAAAGTCCTAAGTATTAGGGAAATAGTTAAGAGATTATTTCTAAATATTAGGGAAATAACTAAATGGCTATAATATAGATTAGGAGCGTGTACTAGGCGCACCTCTAAGAATGCAATGAGGGAGTTTCAATATGAAAGGTAATATAGTTTAGGGGGATTTTGGGATACCGAATAGTTTAAGTAGGAAACTGATAAAAACATAATAGTTTAGGGGGATTAACTCTCCAAACAATAGAATGTTTAAACCGTTGGAAATTAAACTTCAATTCTAAAATGTTCGTTCAGAAATTATGATCAGATTTATCATATACTGAGAGTTACATATTAAGATTAATATTAAACTATCAGATACATGCTTCATACTCATAGTCAAAGAGAAAGGACAAAGCGTAAAAAACTAACAAACATACCCAAAATATTCACCTCGAACATGTAGGTATATGGGTGCACATTTACCTGTAAAGTGTTTACACAGATATGATAGACCATTACAAATTATAATTGTATCTCAATGTAGCTTTCGAGAAAAAAAAAATTAAAATATGCAATTAAAAGAAGTTCTTGCCAGAGGAAAAAAGAAACCAACTTAGCATTTTGATCAAACAAATATAGAACTAAATTGGATCGTCTTGTACCTTACATAAGTATAATTCATATTATGTCAAGTGAAATAAGTATAAGGAACCATATGTGGATGCACTTCTTCATATAAAATTCATGGACAACTACAGAGATAAACTCTTAAAATTTAAACGCATCTTTTGATGTAGTTAAAGGGAAAGAGGAAATATTTGTGAGAATCCTTATCATGTTATATTATATTTGTCGGTTCTTCACTTTCAGTTCGTTGAAATGAATTTCTTATGTAAAATAACAATGGAGCTTCGTTTGAAATACTATACAAAATGATCATCGTATATGCTTTGAGCTATAATATTGAGACCCTTTAATTAGGATAAACAATGAGAATTATTACTAGGGAAAAAGGTGCAGGGTAGAGTTCGTAGTAGAACTTTATTTAATTACCGCAGTTGAGATACTTTTGTGCATTTTGAAGCAACATTAACTAAAGACACGGAAGAACTCCCTAACATATATAATTGATTATGAATTCTTGATGTTGTATCAATAGATGCACGAATGAAAAGAATTAAATGCCAGACATTATTGTTTCCTAGCTATAATTATTGTTTGCTAGCTATATTGCATGCACCTCTTACGGATGTAAAATGCTTCTACCAATATATTTCCCAATAATCATTATACTATAATTGGATAAGAAGAAAACCATCAAACATGAATATTTTCTTATTATAACATGTGCAATTATCACCCCCTAAATTTAGGCACCCACCCCACAGGAGATTAATTTGGAAATAGACTGAAAAATTAGCTAAATACTCTCCTGCCCATGGTATAGTTGAAGACATAAATACACGTTTATTTTGTGATAATGTCGTTAACATAATTCGGAAAAGCACATGAGATGTTTAATATAGTGCAAAATTAATTTATTTGTATTAGTTCATCACGTGCCAGTCGTAGAAGGAACCAAATTATTTACTCTCAAAGATTCTTATTACAATGTATAACTTTGGCATGACAATTATACTAAAACAAATGCTGAAAGTTATTAAATCACTGCAAAACTAAATAAATATTCACCAAAATTAAACGTTAATTTTGCCCAGGAAAATCCATAAAGTAGGGAAATAAAGTGAATAACATGAGTAATCTATATAAAAACACAAAAGGTGGAGTCATTTTCCCTTTTAGTATTCTTATTCTTTAGTAGGAACAGTATTTTATTTAACAAAAAAGGGAAGTAGTAAAATATATTGGGCTCATATTGTCACTTTATTAATTTAATTAACCAATATTCTTAAGCATTACTAGAAGATTATTAAAGCAATAAATTGTTAATTTGTCTTACAAAAATATTAGTATAATCAAAATTTTAATTTTGAAACAATAATACCGGTCATGTAATGATTCGAAAATTGTGAGATGTTTCAACATAAAAAATCTAAGTAATGTAATTGAAAAGGAAAAAGAAAAGAAAAGATAAAAGAGTGCTTGTAAATGCCATTGCTCGTAAAATTTGGCAGTCACTCTTTCGCTCAAGATTCAAAACATTGAACACTTTCTATTTTTTTTTTCACTCTCAAAAAGAGGTTGTTTCTTCTTCTTCTTGTTCTTTGTGCTCCTATTGAGTTGAATACCCAAAAAAGATCGATGACCCTTTTCTTATTGGAAGAAAATAGAGTAACCCTTTTCATTTGAGCTCAAGATTTGCTCATCCCAAGTTCAAATCTGGCGTTTTCTTGAGGTCAGAATTGACTTTTCATTTATGGGTATTGGCCTTTTGTTGACTTCATTCAAGATTTGGTTGGTGGTATTGTGCTCTTTTGTTACAATGTTTTGAATCTTAATAGACATGGCGTTTCATTGTTTGAGTATAGATCAATACTTGGAAAAGTTTTGAATGTTGAGCAATTGACAGTTTATTGTGATTTGACTCTATAAGAGTCAAACAGCTGGTTGAGCTTGTGCTGAATTTGTCATTATTGAGGATATTTTCAGTGTACTTGATGTACTAAGATGGAGTTATTATCTATTCTGGTCTTATAAGCTTTCCCTCATTTTAAGCTATTATAGTTTCAGAAATTTTCATTACATTGATAGAGTTGGATAAGGCCTAAGGTATTAGTTTCGTGTGTCAAATTCAGTGGACATCATATTGGTTACTTCTGGCAAGAGTCTCTTTGAAACAATTTAAGGTTGTCTGATTACTATTATGGCTTCAATTAGAAGAACATTGTCCCCAGTGCCTCGTCCTGGTAGTAATATGAATGGAGAAGCATGTCTTGTTGCCTCTCCTTTGTCCAAGTCATCATCATGTACTCATAGCTATACACCAACTGGTACATTGCTGTCTTCTCTTGGTTCATTGGATTATGCGTTGTACAAGGTTCAAGCATTTGTACTTGGTCTTTTGTCGCGAAGATCTTCTAGGCCCTTGGAGAGGTCAAAGTTGAAGGGGCTCATTTGGAGGAGAGCTCTTTTACAATTCTTTTTCTGCTTTGTGCTTGGAGTATTTATTGGTCTTACTCCATTTGTTTCACTAAATTTGTCTACAAATTTTATATCTAAAAATCAAGCTTTCTCCTTTGAGGTCGAAGAAAATGCTCGCTCATATGATGTATCTAGAAATGTGACCTCAACCACTGAGGACTTGCCTATCGTGGATAATTCCACGTCAGAGCCTAACTTAGTACATGTTGAACTGAAAAAAGAAACTGCCAACAATGCCTCCTTTAACCAATCACTTGACCAAGAGTTGATGGTGTCTCGTAAACTTTTGATTATTGTGACACCTACAGAAACTCGGCCATTTCAAGCTTACTATCTGAATCGTCTAGCCTATGCATTAAAGTTGGTTCCTTCTCCTCTATTGTGGATAGTTGTGGAGATGAGCTCTCAGTCTGTTGAAACTGCTGATATATTGAGAAGAACTGGAGTTACGTACAGGCATCTTGTGTGCAGCAAGAATTTAACTGATGTGAAAGAGAAAAATGTGCAGCTAAGGAATGCTGCTCTCTCTCACATTGAAACACACCATCTCGATGGTATTGTCTATTTTGCTGATGAGTTCAACATATACTCTGCTGATATCTTCGAGCAGATGAGACAGATCAGGTACTCTATTAATTAAATTTTCTTACTTTCTGCATGTTAGCGACCTTGTTTTACTTTGCGACATAAAGCCAAGTGAAATCAAGTTTCCAGTAGGATATAACCTTAGGGAACATTACTTATGCTCAATTTAGTTGATAATTGCATGTTCTCATTCCGCTAATTTCGTGTAAGCTGTTATTATTTTGTTTAAAGTTGTTTAAGGAAATTCGTGTTTAAAACCTTAACAGGTCAACTGTCATATTGTATCTTGATCACTCTGATCTTGGGTGCCTCTCACTATATCTTTTCTCATTATAAGCAATTGGTTTAAATGCGATGAATAATGCCCTTCTAGGTAATCTTCTGAGTCTGTAATCCTATTTATCAACTTTTTTGATAAAAAACTGTTGTATGCAGCCGATTCGGGACATGGATTGTGGCAAGACTAGCTGAAAATAATAGGAACATTATCTTGCAGGGTCCAATCTGTAACGCCTCTCAGGTTATAGGTTGGCACACTGAAGGTAGAACAAAAAGATTTCAGAGATTCTATGCAGAAATATCGGGATTCGCGTTCAATAGTACGATACTTTGGGATCCTAAGAGGTGGCACCGACCATCACTAGAATCTATAAGGCAGTCTGATACAGCCAGAGCTGGTTCCCAAGTGAGTTTTGCATTCCTCGATCTTTGATGATTGTTAATAAAAAAGATATTCTGTTAGTGGATACTTCTTCAAGAGCATGGCAAGTGAAAATGTATTTGAAGTTGGAGCACTGCACCCAATCACCCTTGGGAGAAAGGGGAAGCGATATTACAGCTTTATCTGTATTACCGTACGTGAATATGTCAATCCTAATGATTTTATTTGCAGGTGAGCACATTTATCGAACAAGTGGTAGAAGACGAAAGCCAAATGGAATGCTTACCAATGCACTGTTCAAGAATCATGGTTTGGCAATTCCACACAGAAATATTGTACCCATATCCTCATGAGTGGCTGGTGAAGAATTACTCAAGCACCATTACTTCAGTTGGATTAAAATTTTGACATACGGAGAGATTCTTGAGCATTAACAAGGTGCGTGAATTATGTCTACATTTTCCCCATGAAGCTCCTTACCAGCTCTTTTAGTGTTTTCTTTTATTTCCAGCTTTTATGAATATTTTTGGACGTTTTCCAGCTTTAAGTTTTGTCATTTATCTATTGTAACTTGTAACTTCTATCTTATGAGGTGTCTCCTTGTCATGCTAGAAGAAATAACCCCCCTTCTTCCATTTCCCCTCTGCCGCTGTCAGTTTTCAATTTGCTGCTATTTTTTCAGCGATTTTCATATATTAGTGACGACATCATCATCATCATCATTATTAAGTACTTTGGGAAATCACATGCTGAGGAATCTCCAACTCAAGTCACAATTTCCAATTATGAGAACTAAAGTTATTGATCTCTATACCAGTCTACTAATATCAGTCCACATTCTCCGTGATTCTGAGTTTTCTTTTTCTTTCATGCCATATGATGTACACAGCAAGAGTTTTAGCAACTTAGAGTAGCTTATATCAAACCCTTGCTTATTTGCTACCTAACTACCCTATGAAGCAGCTTAGATCCAAACTGTTGCTTCTTTGCTACCAAATTACCCTAAGATCTTCCACCCACCAAGAGTAGGGATGGCGATGAGGGAGGGCAGGGATTTTTTTTTGGCGGGTGGGGGGGTGGGGGTGGGGGATGGTAGAGGGAGGGGAGGATGAGGACCAACGGCGGGGCCAGTAATTTCACTAAGAGGTGTCAAAGTACAAAGAAGTACATAAACGAAAGACTAAGGAGATTCAATATATAGTCTATACACGTAAAAAGATAAATTTGGCCTAGCTACACAATGTAACTTTTCGACGAAGGTGGCTCGCCACTAGACGAGGTAGTTGCATTTGGGTCTCTCGGTGGTGATGTGTCACATGATATTTCGTTTTTTGGAAGATAAGAAGGGAACTAAAAGTAAATGCAAATCAAAAACTTTATTCGGATTTTGAGAAACGAATCAAAAACTCAGATTTGGATCTTGACCGTTTCGTGAGTAACGTTAGACAACAGTTAGTCACGAGCACTAATCACTAAGAATACTAAGAAGAAACCAAAGATATCAAAGAAGAAGTTATCTTACTACCTTGAAGTATGAACTAGTTAGGTTGAAATATAAATCCCACCGCAAGAAGCATCAAAGGTTCAAAAGAACTCTCAAGTAATAATATTCATCAAAAGTGAAGTTACAATCAAAAAGAAAACACCCCTTTATATAGGAACATATATGGGGGTTGTTGTAAACCCTATGGTATTACCTAGGTGCAGTTGCCTTCAAGACTTATTCAATTCTATGTTGACCCCGCCTTTAAGGCTTGTTGAATAGCAATGTGTCGCAACCCTCTAGTGTAGAAACTAAGTTAAAACACTAGTTTGGGCTGCTTGAGTTGCTTCATTTTTAGGTTGACTCGGGCCACAACCCACCTCCTCTAGGACTTCAATTTGGCTATCAAATAGTTGTAAGACTTGGCCAAAAGATCTTCCTTGGGCTTAAGCTCTTCTTCCACCATAATATACCTTTTAACTACTAATTGAAGCCCAATAAGCTTGTTTTGTGTTACATAATGAATGTAGACATACGCTTATGTAATGTACATAGCTGGCAGAATTATAGGATTCACAACTGTTTTATAGAATTTTCTTTTTGATTCTTTCCCTAGTTAGGGCTCTATGTACTTGTATATATACTTCTGGAATAATATATGAGAGAGATTGCGCTATTGCCTCTATACTTAACATGGTATCAGAGCCAAGCTTGTAGCTTGGTCGGAATTTGTTGGCTGCCTCGTCGGAATTTGTTTGCTACCTCGTCGTCTCTTCAAAGTTGCAAAGTAACTATCGCAGCTTACATAGAGAGAATCGCCTCTTCCGATCTGTAAAAACCCAAAATCCGGTGGCCAGATTCTAAGTGCACGCGCCGACCCTATTTTCTTGCTGAAGATATTGTCAAATGTTCTGTCTCGTGAGTTTGGTGGCGTTGTGTGGTTTATAAGCACTTGGTATTATTTTATGTGGTGGTGAAGAGTTCCTTTGATTTATTCTTTTGGTTAGTTTGGTCAATTGCTACTGGATTTTCATCTCCATAGTTGATCGATTTACGGTTACCAATTTGGCTGGGAAACCTTTCAATTTTGTTTACTTTGATTCTGATATTGATTTTCTCTAACAAATTAAGTTGCTTTCAACTTGGCCTCTCTCTAGTTGGCTCTGTTGTGTGCCTGTTAAGGAGTTGATTTTGCGGTAGAAGTTTGTTGATTTCTTTGATCGTGAGTTGTGTCCGTTGAAAAAAAAATGGCTATGAACAGTAAGCAAGGAGGAAATGAAAACTAGCCATATCGATCTAGGTAAGTGGTGACAACGAAAAGGCTTTTAAGCCTGAGGGCGGTGAGCGAGGTAGGATAAAATGGTAATTGAAATAATGCTATAGCTCCTAGTCAAATAATCTTGGTTTTGAACAAGTTCCTTATATTCCTTCAATATTAGAAATCAATTAAGGAATCTTTTTCGGTAACTACTTTTGCTAGGTCAAATAAAACATGTCTTATTACCTCTTCAAATAAATGGGTGATTGATTCAGGTGCCATAAATCACATGACAAGTAATCCAAATATTTTTTCTACATTTCGCACACAAATAACCCTCTCCGGTTACTGTAGCTTATGGATCAAGTTGTAGTTGTGTTGGATTTGAGACTGTTAAACCAACTTCCTGTATTACTCTGTCATTTGTTTTGGGTCTACCAAACTTGGTCTTTAATTTTTTTTTTTTGTTAGTAAAATCACTAGAGAGCTTAATTGTTGTGTTTCGTTCTTTCTCGATCATTGTTTGTTTCTAGATCTTACTACAATGCAGGTTATTGATAAAGGATATATATTTGGTGATCTCTGCATTCTCGATGAATGGGAGCCACGGTCCGTTGCATGCTCCAGTGTTGTGTCACTTTTTGAAGCACATTGTCGACTGGAACATCCCTCTCTACCTTTATTAAAGAAGCACTGTCCTCATTTCAGAATATTTTGTCGTTGGTGTCGATTTGCAAAATACCACCGCATCTCGTTAGGTCCAAGGATTAATCAATGAGCTGAGTCAGTTTTTGAGTTAGTCCATTCTGACCTTTGGGGACCATGTCCGGTTGTTTCTAAAACTGGGCATAAGTACTTTGTCACTTTTGTCGATGATTTTTCTCGAATGACTTGGATTCACTTTATGAAGAGTCGCTCTGAAGTGTTATACTCACTTTTCTGCCTTTTGCGCTGAAGTCAGAACTCAATTCAATGCTTCGATGCGTATTCTAAGGAGTGATAACGCTAAAGAATACACGTTAGAGTTATTTCAGTCCTAGATGAGACAACATGGTATACTACATCAGTCTTCATGTGTTGATACACCCTCTCAAAATGGATTCGATGTGAGGAAGAATAAGCATCTACTTGAGACAGCTCAAGTACATTTGTTCCAAATGAAGGTTCTTAAACAGTTCTGGGCCGATGCGGTCTCTAAGGCTTGTTTTCTAATTAATCGCATACCATCTATTGTGTCGGTGGTAATGTCCCTTATAGTATTTTTTTTTCGAACAAGTTATTATTTTCGGTGGAACCTAAGGTGTTTGGAAGCACATGTTATGTTCGAGATGTTCGACCATCTATTACCAAGTTGGATCCAAGGTATTGGAGTGTGTTTTCCTGGGCTATTCTCGCCTTCAAAAAGGGTATCAGTGTTATTCTACTGAACTGGCAAATATTTGGTGTCAACTGATATGATATTTTCAGAGACTACACCATTCTTCTATGCACCTCCCATTTCTACAAGCCAAGGGGAGGAAGATAAGTGGCTAGTATATCAGGTTACCCGTACTTTGACAGAACAATCAGATGATATTCCTCCATCTCCTAGTTCTTCTATTAAGTACCAATCGACTATTGTGCCTTTAACACCTGCTCCAACTGTGTTAGCAAGAGTCCAGTACATTTAAGTTTATTTGCGGAGGCGAAAGACAAATGATACATGTCCCACACTACTTCCTTCGTCATCTGATCCTCCAAAAAACCTTGACCTTCCTATTGCTCTTCGCAAAGATACATATACTTGTAAATCACCATATTCTATTGCTAACTTTGTTTCTTATGACCATTATCGTCTACGTCTAGATTATGATTGCTTCTCTAGACTCCATCTTGGTACGCAAAATAGTGAAGGAGGCTTTGGATCATCCCGGATGGTCTGATGCAATGCTTGAGGAAATACATGCCTTGGGGGATAATCACACGTGGGATTTGGTGGATTTACCAAAGGGAAAGAAACCGGTGTGATGCAAGTGGGTCTTTATAGTTAAAGTTAATCCAGACGGTTCTGTGGTAAGACTTAGGCCAGATTTGTGGCTAAAGGGTATGCTCAAACTTATGGCGTGGATTATTTCGATGCCTTCTCTCTGGTTGCCAAACTCACTTCTGTCCGCTTATTTATTCTCTCGCTGCGTCCAAGAATTGGCCTTACATCAGTTAGATATCAAGATTGCGTTCCTTCATGGTGATCTTCAGGAGGATGTGTATATGGAGCAATCACTCGCTTTTGTTACATCTTGAAACTCCTGTCTCCAATAGAGTTAAGATTTCATGGACACTATCACTTCCCTTCCCCAAAGACCAAAAAATGTACATTGGAATGTGTTCCAAAAGTTTTTGAATCGCTTCTTCAATTTCTGTCCATTCCAGCTATGTACTTGCCTCCTTTAGTATTGCCGGATATGCCCATTGCTCCACAAAAACATTTAAGAATAGGGTTTTGGCAGAGAACTCAGTGTAGTCTTCACATAGAAAAAGTCTACTGCACACTTTAAATCCTCATCTTTTGATAAATTTTCCTCCATCAAGCATGCTTCATGTACAACCAACCAGCCGAAACAAGCTGCTCTAGGGAAGCTTTTGTTCTCCAGATTGCTTTCCAGGGCCAATTCTATTGTGCATCAGCTGGAAACTTCAGCAATTGGTACCATAGACAGTGAATTGCCATTCTTATCTCCTTTCCAGACGAGAGAATCTGGTTTATCTGGCTGAGTTTGAATGCCTTCTAGTATGAATAGTGATTGTGCTAAGTTTTCTATTTCACAGTCAAAAGGTTCCTCCTAAACCCTCCTTATCAAAAAAAATAAAGGTTCCTCCTAAGCCCTAAATGCAATCCTTCACTATTCCAGCATTCGGCAATAGTGCCAAAATTTCAGGGAAGGCCTCTCTCAAGGGATTTGATCAAACCATGGGTCAATCCACGTTCTGGTTTTTGTCCATCACCTACTACAATCTGTGTTAATTTTTGAAATTCACTCCAGCGGCTGTTAATTCTCTTCGAGAGAGATACACCATATGCCCGAGCTGTTTGTTTAGTGCACCATGGCCCATCCAAACCATACTTTTGTGATGATAACTTTCTTCCACATTGCATCCTGAGGTCTCTAATTCCCAGACCTCCCCACTTTTAAGGGTGTGTAACCCAGCTCCGCCTTACCAAGTGTATTCCAGTTGTTTCACTTCCTGTTGAGGTGTTGAATGTAATGACATGGAATCCCATCCACTAAACTATTTATTAGGGTGATTCTATTCCCCAAAGAAAGATACTGCCTTTCCCATGAAGCAAGACTGTTTTTCACGTTTTCCACCACATTCTGTCACAGATCAGCATGTCTATGTGACCATGTAGATAGAAGGAAAATTTCCAGTTCACATCGCTATATAGCTTCTAATGACTTCATGTTGTTCCCATTTCTAACAGAAAAGAGATTACTCTTTCCCAAATTGACATGTAACCGAGAAACAACTTTCAAAATTAACCCCTTTCAAGTATCTTGGTTGTGATTCCTCTGCACCACAGAGTACCAGGATATCGCCTGCGTATAGGTGGAATACCCAATCATGTTCTGTGTTTCACAGCCAATGAAAAATTGATCAATTTCCTTTTTACTGCCTGCTAATCATTTTACTGAGGACTTGCATAAGTAACAGAAAGAGGTAAGGAGACAAGGCGTCCCTAGCAAATGACTCCTTTTACCCTTCGCTTATCCCTGTATCCAAATCCCTCCCCAGACCCCACAGTGTGGGATAATACTGGGTATGTTGTTGTTGTTGTTTTCCTTGTATCCAAACATTTGTTGGGCACTATGCGCATCCAAAATTTGCCTCCCTCTACAAATGCATTTTGAGATCCAGTGATCAGTTTCCTAGTCGCCGCGTGCAATGTTTTTGTATATGCTACCCAAATGACTGAAAGATTGAATGTCTTTTAACTCTAAAAGTGTTTGGAGCTCACACTAAAACTGCTATTCTTAGAACAAAAATATTGTATGAACTCTTCGTGGAGAAAAACTAATATCATACAAAGAGAAATATGCTTCTTAAGACCGCAACTGTTCATATACACAAGAAATAGAAAGCCTTCTGGATTGTGCACCATCAAAGTTTGTACAATGATCTTTGGTAACATCAAGGCAGAAGGTATTGGGAGAGTGACCTCATCTTGAATAGTGCCGTAGAGGATAAATATATAAGCGATCAGGAGAACAATAGCATCTAAATTCATTGCTGCATTTATTTGACTCTGAAATTTGGAAAAAGACTTCTCTTGACTTTTCATGATGGCGTTATTCCATTTGTTTCTAGTGCAGGGAAATTTAGTGAACAATTATGAGCATCTACTGCCAATATTTATCGGACCAACCACCGGAATGCTATCAGTTTCGAGCTTGTAATGTTTAACTACATGCTACAGCATCTAGAGAGACGAAGGAAACCAGTTCTCTCTGCCCCTTCCTCCCTCCCCCGACCCTCTTCCCTTTTCCTGTTCTGCTGCTATACCAGTAGAGATATTAATTTGTACAGTTGCATAGCAAGTCATGGTATAGTCTTCTGGCTACCAAGCGCAGAAGCAGAAAATATTGTGGCCATGTTGGAAATTATTTACAACTGATAGGTAAGTTTCAAGTTCCCAGCCAATTTTATCAACCGATGTTTTTGTAATGCAAGTTGATGCTGCAAAGGAGTTTTGTTCTTGAACTGGCTGCATTTCAGTAAGACTTGTGCATATTTTAAAGTGCTACTTCTCCACTCCAATATGTTTGATAATCTTTTCATTCTGGAATTGTTTGACATTATCTCATTTTTATACAATTCTTTCACAGGTACCAAATTTCAAATGCACTGTTCTTCAACTTTTAATCTTTGATCTGATTTTTCTTGTTTGACGCCATTTCATTTTTATACAATTTTTTCACAGCTTTCAAGATTTCAAATTTTGATCTTTGATCTGATTGGTCTCTATAAAGCTAATTTTTAAACCATTTTAAAATCTTCTTCTAGTAATAATTAATATATGAATCAACAAAACTTTGTGCTTAGTCAATTTTTTTCTCTCTATAAGACGGAATGCAGGGAGTATTTAGCTTTTCGATTCTTCTTCTGTGTAGCGTAATGCATTTATCAAGTGGATTGTGTTTCAGACATTTGCTGTATCTAATGGTGAAAACAAATCCAACTGCAGCCCAGGACTAAATGTGAGCGAATTTCTTTTTATTTTTTTTAACAATCTTAGTATATGTAATCAGAGAGAATAACTTGCTGTACTTTTATTTTTACACTTATACAAGATTCTATCAAAGGAAACCAATCAAACAAAATAAAAGAAAATATCTTACGGGTTAGCTCCTATAATTGAGTCACCTATCTATGGAAAATAATTTATTTATAGCTTACTAATTATTCCGTAACACTTCCGCTCAACCCGGAACATAGTATTGATTATGCCCAGCTTATTACAAAGGTAATCAACTTGAGCTTCATGCAACACCTTTGTGAACAAATCAGCTAGTTGCTCTCATGTCTTCTCGTAGGCATTGGAAATTAATTTTTTCTAAATCTTCTCACAAATAAAATGACATCAAGAAGCAATATATTTAGTTCTACATGATACATCGGATTTGAGGCAATATGAAGAGCAACTTTATTATCACATCAGAGTATTGTTGGTGTATGATGCTTCAACCCAATTTCAGTTAAAAAGTGATATATCCATATAATCTCACATGTAGACTGTGACATAGTTCTGTACTTGGATTCTGCACTAAATCGAGATACAACACTTTGCTTCTTACTTCTCCATGATACCAGGTTTTAACCAATAAAGACACAATATCCTGCAGTAGAACTTCAATCAATTTTAGATCCAGCCCAATTAACATCTGCAAAACACTCAACACGAGTATGCCCGCGATTGCTATACAATATGCCAAGTCCAGGAGCTCCTTTAAGTAACATAGAATCTGTTCCAAAGCTGCCCAATGTTTGATCGTAGACATGGATTGGCTAATAGCATTAACCGCAAAAGCAATATCTGGACTAGTAAAAGTAAAGCAGTTTAACTTTTCAACTAACTTTTTGTATCTCTCTAGATCATCAAAAGGACCGTTACTATCTTTCATAAGATGAACATTTGGAATCATTGGAGTCCTACATGATTTGGCTGCCAACTTTCCAGTTTCTGTAAGTACATCAAGAATATACTTTCTTTGAGACAGAATAATTTCCTTCTTGCTTCTATTTACTTTTACTCCCAAAAAGTATTTCAACTGGCCTAGTCCTTCGTATGAAACTTAGTGTGCAATAAAGACTTGAGGGAAGAGACCCCTATATAATCACTTCATGTTAGGACAATGTCATCAACATATACAATAAGGAGGATAATGCCATGCCGGTAGAAAATTGAATGACCACATTTACTCATTTTCAGCCCAAACTTCTGAACTACCTCACTAAACTTGTCAAAATAAGCTCGGGGACTCTGCTTTAAGAATACAATGACTTCTTCAAATGACAGACTTTACCATACTCCCTCCGAGCAACAAAACTAGGTGATTACTTCATATACACTTCCTCTTGAAGATTATCATAAAGGAACGCATTCTTGATATCCAACTGATTTAAAAGTCAATTTTTAGAAGCTGCTAGAGAGATGGACAAGAAAACAGAAATAAGCTTGGCAACTGGGGAGAATATGTTTGAATAATTCTTCCCATAAGAGCATACCCTTTATCCATAAGTCTAGCCTTAAGTCTTGTCACGGATCATCTGGATTAACTTTAACTATAAAGATCCACTTACTTCCCACTGGTTTCTTTTCCTTCTTTAAATCCACTAAATCACACATGTGATTTTTCTCTAAGACGTATAGTTCCTCAAGTATTGCATTAGACCATTCAAAATGATTCAAAGCCTTTTTTACTATTTTGGGTATAGAGATATAGACGTAGAGGATAAGCGGTCATATGATACAAAACTAACAATGGAATATGTGAGATTTGCAAGTACGTGTACCTTTGCGAAGAACAATAGAGAGGTCAAGGTTTTGGAAAGGATCAGGTGGCGAAGGATTTGAGGACGAAGAAAGTGGTGCCCAACATGTATCGTTGGTCTCTTTTCTCCTCAAGTAAACTTGAACAATCATCGATCTTTCTAGCGTAAATAGAGCAGTTTCGAAGGACACAATAGTCAATTGGTGCTTAATAGAAGAACTAGGAGATGAAGGAACGACATCATTTGATTGTTCTGTTAAAGCATGTGTAACCTGATAGACTAACCACTCATCATCCTGCCCCTGACTCGTAAAAATGGAAGGTGCACAGAAGAATAGTGTAGTCTCTAAAAATACCACATAAATTTACACCAAATATTTGTCAAGTTCAGTAAAATAATATTGATACCCATTCTAAAGACGAGAATAGCCCAAAAAATACATATCAACGCCTTGGGATCCAACTTAGTAACAGATGGTCGAACATCTCGAACACAATATGTGCTTCCAAACACCTTATGTTCCACCAAAATAATGACTTGTTTGAAAAAAGAACACTATAAGGCACATCACTAACGAAATAATAAATGGCATGCGATTAATAGTTAAGAAAATAATTCGTTGAGATCGCATCAACCCAAAACTATTTAGGAACATTCATTTGGGACAATAGTACACAAGTTGTCTCAAGTAAATGACTATTCTTCCTCTCAGCAACTCCATTATGGGATCAACACATGAAGATTGATGGAGAATTTCACATCGTCTCATGTAAGACTGAAACAATTTTGACATGTATCTTTAGCGTTATCACTCCTTAGAATATGCGTTGAAGTATTGAATTGAGTTTTGACTTCAGCAGAAGGCACAAAAGTGAGTAAACACTTCAGAGCAGCTTTTATAAAATTAATCTAAGTCATTTGAGAGAAATCATATACAAAAGTGACAAAATACTTATGCGCAGTTTAAAAAATAACATGGCAAAGTCCCCAAACATCGAACTGAACTAACTCAAAAGCTGACTCAACTCGCTTATTAACCCTTGGACCTATTGAGTTGCAATGGTGTTTTGCAAACCGACATGACTCACAGTTTAATGAAGAAATATTCTGAAACTGAGAGACAACTTCTTCAACAAAGGTAGATAGGGATGTCCCAATCGACAATGTGCTTTAAAAGCAAACACAACACTAGAGCATGCAACAGTTCATGTCTCCCATTTATCAAGGATATATATATATATATATATATATATATATATATATATATATATATATATATATATATATATATATATATATATATATATATCACCAGATAAATATTCTTTACTAATAACCTGTTCCATTGTAAGATCTAAAAATAAATAATGATCGGGAAAGAATGTGACACAACAGTTAAGGTCACTAGTAATTTTACCAATAAAAATTAAATTGAAGGCCAAGTTTGATAGACTTAATACAAATAATAGGGTAATGAAGGAAGTTGGTTTAACAGTCCAATCTAACACCGCTACAAGTTGATCCATCAACTATAATAACTGCAGAGGATGTTTTGTGTGATCAAAAGCTAGAAAAAAATATTTGGATTACTTGTCATACGATTTATGATAGCTAAAATCAATCATCCATTTATTTGAAGAGTATAAGACATGTTTTATTTGACCAAGAAAAAGCAGTAATTAAAGAAGATTCCTTAATTGATTCCTAATATTGAAAGAATTTCAGAAACTCATCTGAAACCAAGACCGTTGGACTAGGAGATGTAGCACTATTTCCTCCTTGCTTAATGTTTATAACCATTATTTTTTCCAACGAATAAAATTCACGATCAAAGAAATCAACAAAGCTTTGCAGTAAAATCAACTTCTCAATAGGCACAAAACAAAGCCAACCAGAGAGAGGCAAATTAAAAGTTTCAACCAACTTTTAGAGAAAATCACTATCAAAATTAAATGAGACAAAACTGAAAGCTTTCCCTACCAAACTGATAATCTAAGTCAACCAACAAGGAGGGAAATCGGGCAGCAACTTGACCAAATAAACCAAAGCAATAAGCCAAAGAAACTCTTCACCACCAAATAATATCATACCACATGCTAATGAACCCAAAGAGGCCACAAAATTCAAGCACTACCAAATGTCAAAATTAATTGAAGCTAGAAAATCAATACACACAATAGCGCCCAAAAACTTGTTATCGTTTAGACACAAAAAACAGGGACAACTGTAGTTTGTTGGTCAATGAACTACTAGAGCGTGACCTGAAAGAGAGAGGCAATATTGGGACAAAAGCTAGACACAAAACTAATATGTCATGTGTCTCCACACTCTACCGGACAGAACCTTATCAGAAAACTTCTGCCGGTGTGTGAGACTGACACGCCAACTCCGATAAGGTATTAATCCCAACTTTGACATGGCTCGGATACCTTGATAAATAGACCTTGGGTCAAACTCAACCCCAAAAACTAGTTCATGAGGTGAGGATTGACCAAGACTATATAAAGAGACCATGAGATCCGCATCCCACCAATGTAGGACTCAACATCACCCCCATGTCCTGGCCTGCAAACTGGAGCGTGGATAATATAAATAGGGGTCCAATATCAATAATAATAAATTAGGATGAGTCTGACTCCGATACCATGTAATCAGAGAGAATAACTTGCTTATTTATGAATATAAGATATTTATACACTACACAAGACTCTATCTAAGACAACTAATTAAACAAAATAAAGGAAAATATCCTAAGGATCAACCTT